CTCTCTCTCTCTCTCTCTCTCTCTCTCTCTCTCTCTCTCTCTCTCTCTCTCTCTCTCTCTCTCTCTCTCTCATGAATCTTCCTCTTTATGGAGGAAGGTTCATTCTCGTAGAAAAAAGTGTAATTTTGTTTTCCTTTCTTTTTTTTCCTTTTTCAGATTGTTGTCCTCATTTTTTTGTGTGTTTTTTTTCTTTCTTTTTTCCTTCTGCACTACCGGTAGTCCGAGGCTCGGGAACGACCGGCCTACCGGTAGCTTGAGCCACGGGCCTCAAGACCCGGTAGGTAATAATTTTTTATTTATTTTTTATTTATTTTTTTATTTTTTTTACTCACGGTGTATGTCTGACCTGGCGTTGCCTTCCTGAGTATAGCGTCAGGCCTCTTCACACCGCGGAGCGATGAGGGTGTATGATGGGGCTGCATTACAGTATTGATTGTTCGGATCACCGGTATCTAAGTTTCCCACTACGCTAGCTTGTACTCTGTATGAGAGGTCGGTGCTTCTTCTGGTCCGCACCTTTACAGAAACGCAACGGTGTGTGTGTGTGTGTGTGTGTGTAAGCGGGAAAAAGAGAGAGTGAAAGGGAGGGGAGAAAGTAGGAGAGAGGGAAAAGGGGAGGAGTTGAAAGAGTAGAAGATTGAAGGCTCAATGCCAGAATTGAATGAACCAGGTCACAAGCCGCGATCGGGTACATTCAAAGCTTGCTGCTGCTGCGGCTGCCGGAGAAGGCACGAAGAGGAGAGAGTAGGCAGAAGGGAAAGCAGAGCGCGGGGATAGCGCACGCAAGCGAGGAAAGAGGAAAGAATTCGGCTGCGCAGAAGAAAGGAGACGCATGGAGAGAAGGAGAAGACATTATGTGATGAAGGGAGAGATGAAATCAAGAAAAAAAAAACTTACCTGTCAAGATTGTCAACGGTCGTCGTTGCTGCCGTGCGAAGAGAAACCTGCACTCGTTCTACAATCATCAGACTGGGAAAAAGATCGGTTGTACACATTCGTTATTCCTAAATTATTATTATTATTATTATTATCTGGGTTGCCAGGCCGAACGTACGGAGGCCCCTAAGCTGACCCCCGAATGTTCGGGCGTTCGGGTCCCCGTACGGGGCCCGAATTCGAACGGGTTCGGACCCCGCCAAAACTTATTTTGGTACCTCAAAATTATTTTTTTTTTCTGAATTTGTTTTTGTGAGTTCTTGGTTATGTGAGCTACCTGCCTGTAAATTTTCAAGGCATTCTGTGAAGCCAAAGCATAATGAAAAATCGCCAAAGATGGTGGTGTCTAAACTTGCTTGCCCACTTACCAATTTGTTTTTTTTTTCTTTTCACTTTTTATTTTCCTTTTATTTCGGGGCATGAAAAAAATTATTATTTTTTCAAACTTTATTTATAGGTTCTATATTATGTAAGATACATATATATAAAATTTCATGGCATTTGACAAAGCAAAAAAAAGAAGAAAAATCGCCAAAGATTGCGATGTTAAAAACGTTCGTGCCCCCGCAATAATTTCATTATGGTTTTATTTTTTCTTATTTTTAGTAATATTACTTATTTTTCATATTTGATTTTTATTTCAAATTTGGTAACTAATTTGGATGTACTGTTGAGGCAAAAGTTGTTTAGTTTATTCTTCTACATCACATATTGTTTTTTCAGATTTTTTAGATTTGTTTTTTTTGTTTTTGTTTTTGGGTCCGCATTCGCCCGAACGCCCGAACGCGTCGAGAAGGGGTCCCGAACGTTCGGGCGTTCAGGTGCGGGTGTTCGGCCCGTCTCGAACACCGGCAACCCTGATTATTATTATTATTATTACTGTTACTATTATTATTATTTTTATTGCTATTATTGATTGCTGTTGATATTATCATCATAACTATTATTATTATTATTATTATTATTATTATTATTATTATTATTATTATTATTATTATTATTATTATTATTATTACTATAACTTATTCGGCTTGGCATCCGCAACTTGCCATATACGAGGGCGGAGGTTTCTAGGAAAGAATGCATCAGCCCGCAACGTAGCAGAATTGCCCCGACATGACTGTATCGGGCAGGAAAACGTAGTTTGTATATGTTTGTTCTCATTCATTGTTATTATTATTAATATTATTATTATATCAATCATAAGTAATAATTGTAGTAGTATGCCTACTTGTGTTTGGATTCGTAGCCATGACTCTCCCTTAATAAGTGGAATTGGGCGACATTATGGTCAGGTACGAGGCAGGAGGAAATGCACAGAAAAGGGGAAAGGTGATTGCATGGAAGAGAGATACGCAGGGAAGAGAGAGAAGGAAGAGATGAGGAAGATCGCAGAAGGAGAGAGGAAGGAGAGAGGGAGGAGAAAGGAGAAGGGGATGATGATGATGATGATGATGACGTCGTGGCGCTTACCTTGTATTGGCAATGGTCTGCTATGGGCGATATCTTCGAACGCTTCAGACTTCCGCTGATGACAACAGTTGCATTGTTTTTTTGTAGTCTGTAGTAGCTGTGTAGGAGTAGACTGGGCGCTGAGCGCCACGTATGAGTGTGAAGGAACCAGACTCTTGTGTGAGAGGAGAGAGTATGCTCTCCATGGAACTTGGTTTTCAGTGCTACGAACTTCCATTGCTGTATTATTGGTGCAATGCTGCTCCTCGGACACGGTGTGACTAGTTCGTTTCAATGTAATGGTGTAATATGGAATTGTCATCTCGCTGTTGCTTCTTATTCTTATTGTTATTCTTATTGTTATTATTATTATTATTATTATTATTATTATTATTATTATTATTATTGGATGCACGGTAGCCCTTGGGTCCGCGTGACATCGGTGAGTTGGGGGAGAAGGTTGTAAAGGGGGCGAGAGACGTACCTGGGGGAAAGGAGGTCGACATTGGTGTAGACGTCATCAATCGCTGGTCGTCAAGTTGTCTGGTTGCTTCCATGCTGTAGTTGTAGCAATAGGTTGTAGAGTAGAAAGAGCTCCTGATGCCATTCAAAAGAGAGAGCTACACTGGGTTATGCTGTTGATGTTGCCCGATTGGGCTTGGACATTGACTCAAGATTCTGCTGTTTCGTTCTCAAATGGATGGTTACTCAATTCCCTTGTGCTATCTACTCTTGCTTTGACAACTTGGACATCAATGGGATTCTGCGATTTGGATTTCTGTGGTTCGTCCTCATTCATGTCCCTTGCATTTATTATTATTATTATTATTATTATTATTATTATCATTACTACTATTATTTTTATTCACCCTTTTCATGCATGAGAACGGCAGCACAGTAGACTGGCGCCATGCGCCCGCTAAAAACTCAGAGATATGGGAACCCGGGTACGGGTTCACTTTCAAAGACTACGGCGACTCAGCGCCCGAACAACTCTCTGTTCGCACATACAATGGATCACGCAAGGGTAGTGCA